GAGGAGGAGGGAAGGACTGCTCTGATATTGACGTGTAGCTGGCCAGTGACTGTCATCCTTCCCTGAGGTTCTGGGATAGGGATCCTTCCTCATCCTTCCTCTTCCAATCCCAGTGCTCTGGGGGAGGGATGGAAAAACAGCATAAAAAGTATTCTTTGAACTGAGTTTTCTCTGTGCCTTCACACTTACAAGTGACACAAGTTTTGCTCTGAACAGTTTGAGGTGCAGTTTCCCAGTAACCCGTGCACTTATCTCCTTGAAACTTGGCAGGCTTCATGGCCTCAGCAGGGGCTACCACCCTTGCAGTTTTCATCCCGCTGCTCCCTAACATGCACACAATCACACATGTCACGAGTTGTGCCTGTCAGCAGTTTTAGGTGCAGTTTCCCAGAAACCTCTACACCTAACTTCTTGAAAATTGACAGGCTTTGTGGCCTCAGCAGGGGCTACTGTCCCTGCTGTTTTCATGCGAATCAGGGAAGAAATTACATAGTTATAGACATTTTCATGATTCCCCATTATAGCCTATGGGCAAAACATTGAAACGCGTCGAAACAGTGTCGAAATAGCGAAACAGTTTCGATGAAATGAAACTGAATAGTGCTTCCAAACAGTGAAACAAAGCACCGTCCCTTCGAAACAGCAAAACAGAAGTTGAAATGAAACGGTGCTGTTTTGCACAGCCCTATTAACTGATTTAGATTAAATTGGTTTATTGAACTTCTGTTCCAGATCCCCTCCAGACTCAAGTTAACTCCTGGTCCCCAGCATTCCAGGATGCTTTGCACCTCCCCCACAAACCCTTGTAGGGTGTGCAGGCTAGCCTTGGCTTGCCCTGTTTACTTCAGGTGAGCTGGGAGGTGTGCTCTAGCGCCTCCCTCAGCTTCTGGCCTGGGCCACTGCAGGCATGAGGCTGCATTGCTGGAATCAAAAGTGAATGTCTGTTTACTTGCTTATCAGTTTGATCTACGCAGCTTAGCCAACCTGCAAAGATGGAATCAATTCAGCCGTGAGCTTTTTGATTGTCTGTATTTAGCTGGGGTGTTTAATCATATGGACTGGAAATCCTGGTCTTTCAGGGTAATATCTCAAAACAGACAATGTGAGTAGAGAAGATACTAATTTGGATAGGTCTTGACTGGTCAAGAAAGTTTTGAGTAAAGTCAGACCTTTTGGAAAATATCCGTTTGGTCTCCAGTGTGTTCACCAAGCCTTCTGGCAGTGATAGCCAGGGATCCTGGTTTTCTGTGATATAAAAATCACAAATTCTCTGATTAAAAAATTGCAAATTCTCTGATAAAAATCCCAAAATATGTGGTTAAAATTAAATGCCCCCCACAGCCCCACCTCCACAGCCCTGGGGGTGCTGGAGGTTTCCTTCACTCTCCCCACAGCACCCTGTCCCCAGGCCCTGTTGAAGGGGGCCCTAGCTGCCAGGACTATGGGACCAGGGACCCAGGTCCACAGCCCCCCTGCCCCCAGTGGAAGGCAGTGGCTGTTACAGAAGGAGCATGAGCTGACTCCCTGTTGCTGCTGCCTGCTGCAGGCTTGGGCAGGGCCAGCTCCCAGTGGCAGTGTGCACTCCTGCGGGGCTGGTGGGACCCACGCCCCGCAGATCTGTGTGGGGGTAGGGAAGTGGAGGTGTGTACTGAGGGCTCGTGTGCAGCATGTCCAACCTGGTGCGGCCGCACACAGGGGGGCTGTGCACAAAAGCTGCCTGCCGCTGCAAGCTCCATGCTGCCCTGGCCATGCTTCCTTTGCAGGCGGGGGTTGCAGTGAGGGGCACAAGCCTGCACAGCCCCTGTGCACACAGAGGAAGTGTGGCAGGCAGCTTTTGTGCATGGCATTGCTGTGTCCTGCCACTCCAGTCGCACTCACTGTGCTCTGGAGGGTCTGGGGGAGGGCAGGAGAGCAGGAAGCGCAGCATTTGCAAACCAGGGTTTGCAGCTGGCCAGGCACTCCAGCTGGGGGGTGGGGGGTTTGTAGTCTCCACGCTGGAGTGCCTGGCTGGCTGCAAATCCCCCTTCCCAGCCAGAGAGTGCCCAAGCTGGCTGGGGGCTGAGGGAGCTGGGAGGTTTGCAGCCGGCTGGGCACTCTGACCAGGAGCGGGTTTGCAGCTTCCCCACTTCCAGCTGCAGTGCTCAGCCAGCTGCAAACCCCTGCCACTCATGGCCAGCTGCAAACCCCAACTCCCGGCTGGCACTCTGGCCAGGGAGCACCCAAGCTGGCTGGGGGTGAGGGAGTGGAGGAGGCTGCAAACCCCACCCTCTACCTGGCCCCCTCCCCACTCCTGAGTCCCCAAGCCAGCTTGGGCACTCCCTGGCTGGAGTGCCAGCTGGGAGGGGCAGCGGTTTGCAGCTGGCCGAGCACTCCGGCTGGGAGCAGGAAGGCTGCAAACTCCGCCAGAGTTCCCAGCCGGCTGCTCTGCTTCCTTAGCCCCTAGCCAGCTTCCCCCCACGAGCCCTGCCCTGCAACCCCCAAACTCCACTTGCCTCCAACAAGAACAGTGAGCCTGAAGCAGCCTCCAGTAAGTGCAAGTGTTGGGCCCGGCCTTTCCCCTCTCCCTTCCCCTCTGGGCAGGGTTGGGGGTTTCCCTACCCCTTTTGCAAACAGCTCTTGTAGGCTGGAACTCAGCCAGCCTGTAGAGCTCTTTGCAAAAGGGGGAAATCCGCATGTTTCTCTTCTAAAAGGGAAAATACACTTTTTATCTGATAAAAATAGGAAATCCATGGTTTTCTCTGTTTTTCCATGGGAAACAGGCAGATTATGATGGGGCATAAAGTAGAAGGTAGTTCCTTAGATACTGAGCCCAGGCTGTTTTGCAGGCTTTAGATCAAAACCAACACCTTACATTTTGCCTGGAAAACTTCTGGAAGGCAGTGCAGACTCTTGGAGATGGTTGCTCTTGGCTGACCTTAGTGATCACTATGGCATAGAGGAGATGGTAGTCTTGTAGATACTTAGGGCTTTATACATCAAAACCAGTACCTTGAAAGTACCTTGAATTATACCTGGAAAGCTATTTGGAGCCAGTGCAGAGTACTGGAGTTATATGCTCCTAATGCCCTGCCCCTATCAATGCAGAGTACCACGTTCTGCATCAGGTGCAACTGACAGATGATCATAGAGGCCATTCCCACACAGAGTACATTGAAGTAGCTTCAAGGTTACAGTCATGGATATTGGTAGCCATATCCAAATCTGAAAGAAAGGGTTGCAACCTTCTCACCAGACAGAGTTGGTGAAAAGTACTCCTCGCTACCACCACCAACTGGAAATCTAGGTACAGTAGAGGATCCAGAAGTACCCCATGGCAGTGAACCTGAGTGACAAGTGGAGACTGAATCCCATCAATGATAGGTGTCCCAATTCCCTCAGGTCATGTGGACTTCCCACCACCATCGCCTAGTGTGTGCTCCCATGAATGCTGCTATTCAGAAATACTGATTCCACCTAAAAGAGACACATGAATAACAGGTTTCATCCTGACTAGATCATGAAGCAGAGGTGTTCTGGGACAATAAACCATTCTCTTTACCCAGACTGAAGAAATATTTGGAGTATCTGTACCTGTTACAAAACCTATTTTAACTTGATAGCGAAACGAGTGCTAGGCAGACAGAAGCTTAGTCTGCCCTTGTTTTATTGAACTAATAGGACTACAGAAGCTGTGTACGCCTATTGCTTTTATAATCAGATACAGGCTACTGTTCCTCTGAGCTACAGTCACACTATGCAGCACTATTGATTCAAATCCATTGAGTAGGTGTCAGCTGCTGTTTGTAAGCGCTTCTAAAACATGGTAAATATAAACCAACAGACATAACTAATTATTTTACTGCTGTTGTGCACTTTTTTGTCCAAATCTTTTCATTTCATTACCCTTCTTGAAGGTTTGGCATCTGATTTAAATGAACTGAATCTAGTTCTGTTTGGATGTAGCAATGACCGCTACTCCTGAGGTGCATTTATTAGACCAAATGAAAGGTTGTACCAGTAAATGTTCTGAAATTGTGGTTCACAATATATAATTTCTCTCAATCAGTACAGATAAAGGGGAAGTTCTTTTTCAAAAAGAAATATACACTTGAAAGGGGAAAGCATATATATGAGGTCTTAATTGCTGTTTCAATTTGGACACGCCATTCTCCTGTGTATACCTGTATAGTATTGAATATAAATTGTGCTCCTTTTAAAAATTAAAGGCTCTGAAGTCTAATTAATCCTTTAGAAGTTTGTCCATCTGATGTTATCGTATTTTTATTGGAGGTTATTGCAAGTACCCAAGGCTCTCAGTGTTGGTTGCGTATCAAAATAGCATGGAAGCATGAAACCTTGGGGAGCTTTGTTTTGAGAGTATTTCATGTAACTGGAAATATGCATAAAGTGGGCAGTATTTCTAAATCTGTTTTGGGGTATGTCTATCTGAATATCAAGATTTAAATCAGACTTGAAAGTATTTTACTTTTTACTTTACTATTTGAGTCACTGAGTCTTAATATTACCATATTTTTACATGTTAGGAGATACGATGATGTTCCCATGGGTGTATGCATTTTGTTAGCTTTTTGTTCCACTACTTATTGTAGCCAAGTTTCTGTTCGAGATTACCAAAAGGCCAGTTAAACGTCTTCATCTGGGACTTGCCTAAAGGTAGCTGAATTTTGGCTTCTGTTGAACAGACCATGAAGAAAAATGTGCCAACTGACAGGCTTTCGTCCCACGACAAAATAATATTCCATCTGCTTTGAGGAGCATGGGAGAGATGCAGTTACTAAACTGGCTGAACTGCAATCAGTTTAGAGCTGCCTTTCTAAATATTAGTGCAATACATTCAACTTGAAAATACTAGTGACTCTAAAAATAGCCTTTCATCGGGAAATGTCACAGAATATTCAAGATATTCTTTGATTAAGGTGACCAGTTTCAGACTACTGCAGTGATTTCAGAACTGTCTTCTATAGTACAGTCATTAACACTGTTGCTTTTTCTTTCTACAGATATTCCTGAAATTCCAGAAAGCATCTCATTTTGTAAAGCACTACAAGTAGCAGACTTCAGTGGAAATCCACTGACCAGGTAACTTCTGCCTTCTGCTCAATGCTTTCATACTAAATCTACCTCATTTATCTTCAATTCTTAATTGAAGCAAAAATTATAAAGTTCTTTGCAAGAGTTCTTTGCAGATGTATGTTTCTTTTACAGGACTGTGCTCAGGGTTCAAATTTAAATGTGTATGTTCCATTTATCGGTATCTCAAAGGTATAGGCTACCCGGAACTAATGAATGTGGTCAGTTCTTAAGAATGCAAATACTTAGAAGCCAGCAACATAAATCAGGAGGGCTATTATATATCCTACTCTCACCTATTTCTTTCCATATATAGGGTTTGTCTGTATGTTGATTTTAGTAATCTGGTCCAAAACCAGTGTCAATGCATTTATGCAAACTCTAAATGTTTCACTGCTTTTAATTGGGATTAGCTCAGCCAATGCAAATATTGGCTCTTGCGTGCTCTCATGACGTGGAATTGGGACAAGCCTCTGACATCTGAGTTAGGGCTAATCCAACATGCCTTTATGCACTACCATGTAGCTAAGCTACACTGGTAGTGGTGGTAGCAGTACCATCTGCTGTTGCTGCTGCTTCACTAATATCTACATTCCTTGTGTTTGTTGCAACACAAAGCCAATCCAACACAAAGCAATGGCTTTGCCAGTATCAAGCTACTCCTTTCTGTCCTGGCCTATGAAAGAGTCTGCCCTGTTCCTTCCATGTTCTGCATAGGACCAAACACATTATAATGTTCATTTCTCTTAAAACGTCCTTTGGATATTGCTTGTTTTAGTCCAAGAAAGTCAAACTTGCACTATAGGCAGCACAGGGGCTTGGTCTGGGCTGTCGTATACAAGCCCACACCTTGGACCCCAGTGTTGTGTGCAGCTTTGGGGCCTGCATACATGCCATAGGCAACATGTGCCCTGTGCTGGCCCTGGAGGCCACATGCACAGCAGGCTCCAGTGCCAGCCGGTCCAACATACAGCTCATGGGGCTGGCCTGGCTGCTTGCAACAGTACAGAAGAAAACCCCCAACAAATTGCACACCACTGGTTATGACATATCACCCCTCCCTCGAACCCGTACGGAAAATCCTCAAACAATTGCAACCCATACTAGAAAGAGACCCTATTCTTAAAAAGATCTTTCCAGAGCCACCCATCCTAGCCTTCAAACAAGCACCAAACCTCGCTAACCTCATCACCAGAAGCAAACTTCCTCAAGCCCAGAACACACCAAATGGATCCAGACCGTGCCATGACAAGAAATGCAAAACCTGCCAACACATCTCTGCCACCCCCACACTCACTACACTGCACAACAGACCCATTAGCATGCCTGGATCTTACAGCAGCACCTCCAGAAATGTACTATATCTCACCCAATGCACCAAATGCCCTGATGGAAAATACATAGGAAAAACCAAACAACAACTGCGCACCAGAATGAATGCACACCGGAAATCTATCAAAGACAGGAATACCCAATTACCAGTGGGGGCACATTTCTCACAAGAAAACCACTCTCTCCAATCTCTCAGTCCTGATCCTCAAAGGAAACTTACAAAACACTTCCCAGATATGAGTCTATGAACTCCACTTCATCAACCTCCTGGATACTAAAAATCATAGACTAAATATAGACATTAGATGTATGACACATTATAACCTGCCTGACATCCGCCTCCCCCGGTATCTCTCCACTATTCATCCCCCTTCTCTCCCCCCCAGCCTGTCTCTCACCCATTGACTCCTCAACCTACATTTTCACTGACTACCTGTCTTGTATGCATACCAGCCCAGCTGCTGGCTTCTTTATTGTTCATTCCATCCAGGAAGAGCACGCATCAACTGCAGAAACTTCCTTAGCTTGACGAAGGGTTTTTAAACCTAAAGCTTGCTTAATAATAATTGTTTTCCAACTATTTAAGTTGGTCTAATAAAAGATACCAGATTCACCCAAAGAACCTTGTCTGTCTTAGTGATACAGTAACATTCAAGAAGTAAGAGTGAATATAACCACCTAAAGAGTGAGACTGTCCTTTGCAAAGGTACCCAATGGGATTGAATGCTGCTGAGCTATGAAGCAATGCGTGCTTAGATAACCTGAATTTGCCTTGCTGTCAGGGTAGAAACAGAGGTAGCTTTCCTCACCTTTGTGCTGCCATAAAACTTTATGATTGCAACACAGGTGGTTGGTCTAATAAAAGATATCACATTTACCCAAAGAACCTTGTCTTCTTATGACCTTAGACCAACATGGCTACAACCCCAATAGATATCGGTGTAACAGGGGGTGTGGGGCAGGCAGTGTGTATAAAGGCAATTGCCTCAGGCGTTGCCTTTGGGAGTGGAGCAGGCAAAAAAATGTGGCTGCTTCTGGCAGCCATATGTTCGTGATCATGGTGACAACTAGAAAGTCATGCTTCCACTTTGACCTGGTTGTCAGCTGTGTTCCTAGACTGCTGGTAATATAGGTTGTGCTGCTTTTTTGGTGCTGCAGGTAGCTAGGACCTGCCATCTTGCATAGGTATTGCAGAGGCTTGTGGATCCTTCACACCTTGGGATTTCCCATGCAGATAGGATACCTTTAGGCCCTGGAGCAGCTATCTAGCTGGCTTTCTCTGCTTACAGAGCCACATCTGTATGTCTCTATAAGGAGGGAAAGCCCGGGGCTCCCTGCTTAAGCGGAGAACGCTGGGCTTTTCCCACTTATGGAGACACCCAAGAAATCCTGGGGGATGCATCTCTGTAAATGGGGAACTCTGGTCTTTCCCTGCTAAAGAAGATGTGCCCAGAAAATCCTGGGGGCATATCTCTTAACTGGGGAAGATCAGCTGGCACACCAGGGGTTTGAGGGGCGCAATCCTGTATTGGAATTCCTGGGGTGCACAAGATCGAGTTCCTTAAGCCCCAGGAGAACACAGTCCCTGTTGTCCTGCAGTGTGAATGAATGGGACAGTGAGTGACGTGCTTTGCCCAATTAAGTGGATGTGCTATGCCGAGAGATAACCTGGTACAGCTGATCCGCCTCATTTGTTGACTTCTGTTTCTAGCCTAAGACTTAAAAAGTAGTTCCAGGGTATGCATCAAAAGCTGGATTTTTTTTCAGTGAGTAGATCTATATAGTCTCTTACACTGTGCTGCATTTCATGCTGGATTTGGTGATCAC